TTCTGATCCCCCTCTGTTCGGTGAGTCACCCCAACACAAGATTACTGCTAGACAATTTATTCGCAGTAAATTAACACACCGACAAGACTTTGGCAGCAACCCAGACTTCCACAGATAAGAAATACACACCAGAGCTTCTCCAGCTTTAGTATAATAGTTGAATCCTGCAAACAGCCTCCTCCCAAAGTATCTCCTTATATACTCTCTTGGGAGGAACCCACCTGGGTCCAATTATCTTCTGTATCTGCGTAGTTACTGTCGGCGCTTATCTGCCCACCTTTGCCTGGAGTCCAAGACCAACTCCCTTAGCTCCTCCCCAAAGATCCAGGGCCTGACATCAGGGACCAACTCCCCTTGGCTTTCACTGCTGCTCTATGCCTTAGCCGCCTCCTGGTGGCCAACCAGCCTCTCTGGTCCCTGCTCGGAGTCTGAACCCTATCCAGTGTCCGCCACATCTTCCAGAGCCGACTCATAGGGCTCCTCGCTATCGGAGTCTGTTTGCAGCTCCAACGGCTCCTGCTGGGCCACAACACATCACCTAATAAACCAGTGTTTCTCAACCTTTGCAACTTTAAGTCCTGTGGACTTCCTGTGGGATTCTGGGAGTTGAAGTTCACAGTACTTAACGTCGCCAAGGTTGAGAAACACTGTAATGAACACATTACTTGCTAAGAAGGTTAGAAACTTTGGGGATGTCTTCTCAGGACATGACAAGCCCTTCTCATAAACATGTGTATTCTGGATTTTCCTTCACTTATACAGTCTCTGTCAAGGATGAAACTTTGGCAGCTACTTGCCTCTTTGTTTCAACTTCTTGCCATTAAGAGTAGAGGATGGTGGTGTTGCTTCAGAATGGGTTAGATGGAGAAACAAAACCTCTTATGATTCCGCTGAAGACTGAGAGCCTGAAACTTTGTCAAGGACATCATAACAGGTGTTGAGTTGAAGCAGATGGTTCCCATAACAAAGTGAAGATGGGCTAGGTGAGAGATTGGGGGTTTGGCTGGGAAAATTATTGTTTCATCCTATGAACTGGTATTTGGGAACCTCAGAGTTAGTTTTACTTCGACATTACCATGCAGCGCATTTCAATAAATAATAAGATTTTTGGAAATGGAATGACCCTGGAGTTTTATCTGGATTCTCGAGCCAGCTCTTGACAGTGCCCTTCTTCTCTCTCCTATGGGATCACACCAACTCCTGCTTTCATCTAGAGCAGGGATTTCCAACCTGTGGGCCATGAGGGGTTTGCAACTGGGACATGGAAATGGCCAGCAAGCACAGGTATGCGCCTTCTCATTTGCACATTTGCGTCGGTGGCAGACACATGTCCGCTGGCTGGCCACTTGCATGGACCGTCCCCTCCCCCCCCCACTGGTCCGCAAAGCTAGAAACGCAAAGCGGAACTCTGATCTAGAGCAGGGATTTCCAACCTGTGGGCCATGAGGGGTTTGCAACTGGGACATGGAAATGGCCAGCAAGCACAGGTATGCGCCTTCTCATTTGCACATTTGCGTCGGTGGCAGACACATGTCCGCTGGCTGGCCACTTGCATGGACCGTCCCCTCCCCCCCCCACTGGTCCGCAAAGCTAGAAACGCAAAGCGGAACTCTGATCTAGAGCAGGGATTTCCAACCTGTGGGCCATGAGGGGTTTGCAACTGGGACATGGAAATGGCCAGCAAGCACAGGTATGCGCCTTCTCATTTGCACATTTGCGTCGGTGGCAGACACATGTCCGCTGGCTGGCCACTTGCATGGACCGTCCCCTCCCCCCCCCACTGGTCCGCAAAGCTAGAAACGCAAAGCGGAACTCTGATCTAGAGCAGGGAGTCTCCTAAATTGGCAACTTTTAAGAACTTGTGGACTTCAACTCCCAGAATTCTCCCAACTTCAGCCAACTTCCTAGACCCCCTGATGTGGAGATGCGCAGTGTGAGGCTGTAGAGCACCAACCATACCATTACCCGCGCTGTAGATTGGCTTTTTTCCCCCCCATAGCCACGTTAAATTGCTATGTTCAAAAAATATCTTATGAAAATCCTTTGCATGGTTACTGCCTTCCTAGCACATCGTGGGATGGGCTCTGCTGGGGGTTCGCAGGGGTTCAGGAGAACCTCTAG